AAAGGAGCTCAATTCAAACATATTTCGAAGTGATCCACATTCCCAACCAGTCAGTTACCTTCAACATTGAGGTTCCGGTGCCGTTGGAAAGACATCTATGTAGGGAGATCAGTTTGGCAGAGCACCCCTGCCTTGACAAAACATATTACTGTGAATCTACACAAAATCAAAAAGATGGGGAAGTGGGAATTTGAGACGACTGGCAATCCGGCATAGTTACCGGTGATGAGAAGTTTGTGCATTGTGCATGAGGAAACGTCTGATCATATGGGAGGAAGGTTTGCATCAGTTGACACACAAAAGAAATATGCTTTCAGTACCCTTCACAACTGTCCCAGCAGCCAAGGCGCACCTCCGCTGCCATGTGCCATCGTGTCGCCATTTACTTGAAGAAAAAATATAAGCCGTCAAAAAAATATATGCCATACCTCCACATAACCTTTAATCCCCCGTACTGCTGAGAAAACTCATATACGTTGAAGGCTCTTGAGCAACGGTCCTTTCCTCTCCACCTCATGGTCCTGATTTTATGCCATGAAGTTCCCATTGATAACGTTCTCAAACCAACTTCCTCGAAGAAATGAAGAAAGAAACGAAGTGAGGGAATCATGAGCTCCTGTTCCAAAATCTTTACACAGCTCATGACTACTACTTCATCTAACTAAGAGCTTCTTGCATCACGCTTCCTAGGAAAAAAACGGACATGTTCAAAATAGAACAGGAATGGAGCACCAAACCGAAAAAGCTTCAAGCAACAGCCCCAGCACGGTCCTGACCATTCTCTAGTGTGAGACGATGCAATAGCTCTAGTAAAATGCATAAGAGTGTTACTGAACTTGGAAGTCACCTTGAAAAGTCCCTAGAAAGGAGTCAGACGCTCTCAAAGTAGAAGGGCAACCGAGCCTCGGTTGCGACGCCCACTTGCAGCCGTGGAGAGCGCGTGCTCAAATGCGGTGTGCGCGCGCGATTGCTTGTAACTATTCCGCCTTTCGAAATTAATACTACATCTTTATGATTGGTTTTCCTTCTATTTTATAAACGCTTAATTGGTGTATCGGTTTGTATGTATGTCTGTATGTATGTACAGTCGATATCCGAAAGTTGGGGTGGGTGTGTCACCGGAAGTGACGTGCACTTGATAGAAGTGCGTGGATAAGCTGTTGCCAGCATGCTTTGCTGATATCCAGCGATGTATGTTGGAAGCAGCTTATCCACATAGTTTCTATCAAGTGCACGTCACTTCCGGTGACACGCCTACCCCAACTCACGGATATCGAGTATGTGTGTCCGTCCGCAAAATGAAGTGAGTGATAAGGAAGCTCATGGAATAAACAACCCTAACAAATCGGGTAGCTTACAGGATTTGAGATATCAATGTTTTGTAGCAGGATAGTTGTGATAACACTCTACGGCTATATAAACACCTGCTTAGCACACTTCCGTTCCACATGGTGCTGCAGTGGCAGCTGGAGGGCAGTGGAGGGAGGAGCATAGGATGGGGAGGGGAGGCTAAAAACTGATCACCAACAGGCCTAAGATGCAGTTAGGTATTGATATGTCATTCCACGGTCATGTCATGATTATGGCGATGCCCTCTACTGTAAGCGGAAGACGTAAAGCAGAAGCAGGAAAGGAAGGTCACAGCGGTTGACGGGGGACCAATCTGGTATTTGTTTACCTCATTTTATAATTGTATCCTCTTGTTTGTACTGACGCGTATGCCTCTGTTCGTATCAGGGCAAATGCGAGCCGAATGATAAAACTTGTTCGACCACCCCTTCCTTCGTTCGAAAGGGGAAGAGGGAAAGCCGCTGTTTAGAGGCTTCGCCGGCGTTTTTCTTCCCTTTTTTCCTACTGGCAGCCAACGCGTCATCTTCAACTTCCTTATCGACCGTTTACCAAGCGAATTCAATGTGGTATTGTTGTTATGAAGAAAAGTTCTGTAAAGCTCTCAACTCATAAAAAAAATTTCAAAAAAGATGACAGGCAAGCTTTCTTGCTCACTACAACTTTCTTCTCTTTTTGCGTTCTTGTTGATCAATCAGATTGATTCTAAATGAACGAAAATCTGTTCACTTTTTGTAAAGTGGTCAGTTCTGACGCATTTGAAAAGTACACGAAGCGTGTCACTAAAACATTGAATTAAATCGACCAAGCAGCGTTTAAGGCTGATCCGATTCACGGCTGTCCCTTGACTTTTCGCCCAACCTACTAATAGTACGCTAATCCAATAGTTCTCAGAGGAGGAATAGCCGTAACCGCAGTCAGGCTGATTATTTTCATCCAAGGAGCTCCGTTGTGCTATGAAATCTCTTATTCCACTTGAGCGAAAACATTCACACCAACCTTTTTCAGGTTTGAAGGGATACTGCGTGACTGATATGCCCATTCCATGATCACTGCCATTACGTAGACTAATTCATCTCGATCCAGAACGCTGCCATTGCATTTTTCTGAGCATAAATCATAACTCGACGTAATCAGGAGATGGTAAAATAATTATTAAACAGTTTAGGAATCCATATGCATCTTTCCAAAAAAGTTTAAGCATTTATCGTAAGATTTCAGATCGAGAGGATATTCATAAACAAATATGGAAAAATGTATTTTGCCCTGGTTAGGAAATTCTACGTACGGCATCGATCGAGCTCACTCAAAGCAGGGTGAATATCGGTCGAGGAAATCCTCGACAGGGGGTCGTACTTGTCAGGGCTGGGTCATGGGGGGTCGTACTCGTTGGGGGTCAGTAACATCAGTGGCATCGTGGTGCAGATAGGAGTAAGAAAACGAAGATATGTGAGGAAACATGATAAAATATTCTTTGCAGGTTCAGTCGCTCCATTCCTCCACCTTCATGAGAAGGGCGTATTTGAAGGCAGTACAAAGAATGAAAGTGCATCCCCGCAAAGAAGGTGTACACGCGCTGCAAAGGCACCTCCTCTGCCTATCGCCCGCTCCTCTCCCTTAATACCTCGCTGAGAATGACACTGTTGTTAGGGACGCTGTCGCAAAAACGACAATAGTTCTGGAAAGACCCTGGGCAAATGAAGCTGTTCCTTAGGTTACAGGAGTTACGAAATGTGTTTACTACAATGCAGTTTCTGTCAACAGGTCATCATCATATGTATAACACCTTTCAATCGATTCTACAACTTGAGTGGAGGTCGGATGCATGGCCTATACCCAGACGAAATCGGATGATGACGATTGCCCCTTTTCTTATTGCTTATGTTGAAAGAATGTATTCTAGACACATTTCGAGCGTTGCCAACGAATTACACTTGCAATGGTGAAGGGAGCGGATTTTTGAGCGGCCGAGAATCATCCTCGATAGATCCTCGACGCAAATATCTCCTCAACTAGAAATGTAGAAGGAAGCTAAACAGACTTTAGAAAGCGCAAACCTTCCGCTTTCCAAAACTGTCTTCGTTTTTCAAGATCTTGCAAAATTAGAGAGATATTGCCTTTTAAGTGGCAAAAACTCGCATGAAAATTTCAGCATCCTCGACGCTGTCTCGACTGGATTTTGAGAGACTATATCTCCTCGGCTGGAAGGCTTTCGTAGCAAGCCCGATACTGCCTGATAGAACCAAATCTAGCTCTATCTAGCCCTACCATTTGCTGTTCATAAGGTTGGGAAATGGATAAATGGAACGCTTTTCATCGAGGGTGTAGATTTCGACAGTTTTTTTTCAGGATTCCAGCAAAACAGACCCAGGGACAAATCGCGCCGCAGATGCCGTTAAATTCAACCGCAAACCGTGTCTTGAGGATTTCTGTGCATTTCTAGTGGAACCTGCCTTTGAAATCATACAAAGTTAATGCCTCTTTCCACGAGTCTATATTTCAGCAAATACACAAAAATGTGCAGCGGTGAAAGAATGTGCATAGATGACAAGAGAAGGCGTTTACAATATTATTTTGCAGGAATTTTTTGATTAATTGATTGAATTGATTGTTGATCTCCCCTCCTCCTCGAGGATTTTCTGACTCAACGCACGTTTGACCGTATATCGGTGTCCGTGAAGTGATCCTGCCTCGTCTATGAACACTTCTTTCGAAGCAGTGATTACACTTCCTGAAGGGCGGTGCGATCTCGGACGTCGTTGGCGTCCATGGGTGAGAAGGGTTAAGGGCGGACCCACACAGCTCAACCGCGTGAGAAGTCCGGTTACCGATCATACTTCAATGGGGGGCATCATCAAAACGCATCACCCCCCAACCATCGTGATCACTGCCTTTATTCGCGTGCAACGCTGCAAGGCAGGGTAAGGACGATTTGCGTCTAAGACGAACACGTAACATGGTTAGCAATCGTATGCACGTGCAGCCGCAATTGGACTACCACTTTAGATATCTAGGCTGAACGTGAACTAAATTTACAAACCAGTATGGAGCTGCAGAGCATCCACCAAGCCGATGTTGTCCTGTAGTGTGTGGCAATACGTGTGAAGCATGTGTATCAGAGAGAACACTTCTTTTCTTCGTTCACTAACACATAGCTGGGAATTGACAATTATGTATCAATGAAAATCGGTTATTATTAATTTTGATTAGTGTGGAGGAAGTTGGAGCATACCGTTTTTTCAGGTTTATACAGCATTGCCAATTGTAAAATTTCGTCGAACTCCACCGGCAGTCGTCTCTTGTCCCTAAATTAAACTCATCGCAGATCTTCAAGCAGGGTCAACCCTACGTTGGGACAAGTACCAACGGGGGGGGGGTCGTAGTTTGTTGAGGTTTGTGGTGGGGGTCGTACTTGTTTCGGTAGCACGAAATTACATGTAATGAGGTGAGAGCGCGCGGGAGAAAATTTGCCGTTTCAGCGTGCGTATATACCACCTTCCCGGTAGAGTGTTTTTTAGGGGGAACAAGTTGTGAAGAAGGGGTTCAGCAACCGTAATCTGAACTAAGAAGTTCTTGAGAGAAAGTATAAACTGTCAACCAAAAACAACAACCTTCGACCACCACAAGTACGACAGACTGACTCACTGTTCGTCGTTTGAATAGGGTGGTACTCCAAAAAGCACTTACCATCGATAGTAATAAACCTTCAGAGAACGCTTTTCCACAGGTTTTCCTTTGGGTTTCTTCTCAACATCGTACGCATATTCCATTGTGCACGGGGCCATCTTTTTAAAACGTGTCAACGTAAACGAGTATGTTGTGCCGAGGTCTAAATGCAGCTGTTGAAATTCCAACTCATGTTATCAAGTTGGGAGAATTCTTGGTTTCTTATGCCTTACTAAGATGGAAAAGCACTGTCATTACACACAATGGAAGCCATAGCGCCGAGATTAGATCATAATGATGACCAACCACGATCTATTCCGGTGCATTCGAGTTATTCGAAGGAGGAGAGGGTCGTATTTGCATCTGACAAAGGCTTAAAAAATTTTTAAAGAGTGCGAAATTTGTACTTCTGGAGGTTGAAAGAATCGCGGGAGAGGAGGAGTCGTTTAAGACGGGATTTCAATAACCGTGGCGAAAACTTCGGAAAAGGAGCGAAGTGGCATAATTATAGTGTTTGCCGCTTCTATAGTCATATTCACCTTCTCCAGCCCCCCACTCACATCCCTTCGACGGCCATTCCCAAGGAAGAAATCGGCGGGTTGGAGCACGTCGACTACGACTAACAAGGGAGGTCTTTCAGGACATGGAGCGCTTTTTCGAAATGATTTCCTGCACTTTGTAGACTCATGCGAGGAACACAAAACCATGGTCCGTTTTTCCTGAACGCTTCTAGGAAGGTCAGAATAGTGGTCCAAAGTTCGATCCTCCGTGATGTCTAATTTTTGCAATTTATGTTGGCGCCTCCAAATTGTGTCCAAATGGCACCAGCGTCGATTAACATGTCATCCTCGTAATTTGGCGACAATTTGGAGGCTCCAACATGGATTGCAAAAATTTGTCACCACGGCGGATTGAACTTTGGACCATTTCTTCCACTGTTTTGAGGTTCCCAGAGCGTTCAGGAAAAATGGACCATGGTTCTGTGTTCCTCGCATGAGCCTCTACAAAGTGCAGGAAACCATTTTGGAAAAGCGCTCCATGTCCTGAAAGACCCTCCTTGTAAGAATGAAATATTGTCATAGAAATGGCCAAGATGGTGCTCGAATTGGGGGGAGGGGAGATCGGGGGACCTCTTAAGGCTGGTGGTGGTAGATCCCCCGGGGGCTAAAATTTTCGATCCTGATCCTGTGATGGCTCATCCTCCTTGCTCGCTCCCTCGCCCCTCCTCCGGTGCATACGCCACGTGGGTTACCCCCCAGGAGGCCCGTCGCGCGGCAAGAAGGCAGAGTCGGCGGACGAGTTGCAGCGCGTGGTGTGCGATGTAGGACGTGCAGGGACACTCTATTTAACTTGACGCGCGCGACTCGTCCGCTGACTTTGCCTTCTTGCCGCGCGACGGGCCTTCTGGGGGGGGGGGGGGTATCCCGCTACGTGTTGTGAATACGCGCTATCGTGACTCGGTTGTAACCCAGTTCCGATCACAGTGAGCCTGTGAAGGGTTGACAGCGCGTTGACGCTAGAGGGGATCGCTTTTTTCTAACAAGAAGGAGTCATGTTTTGCTAGGGAGAGCGCTTCTATTGAAATTGGCAGCTGATTTGCAGATAAGTCTTCGTTTAGAACTTGGCCAGAGTTCAAAGTTTCCTGCTAGGAAATTCAGAACTATTTTGAAAATTCCACAACTTCCATTTCCATTTTCTTGAGCTATGATAGGAATTTGTAATGAAATTGCCCTAAATCCCGCTGAAATGCTCGACACACTTTTAAGAGGGTAGCACATAGGTATTTGGTCGGCAGAGGTAGTGCCGTGAGAAAAAGTACCAGATAGGGTCACTCTCGGGACATAAATTTCGATGCTCCGTCCTGGTCTCAACGCGATGCCCTCAAGCGTGAGTATGACCTAAGGCCGAATATGTAGATACATACACTTATAAGTATGTTGCTTTTTGACTTCATGAGGGAGATGAGGCAAAACACAGGATGGATTTCGCTCGGATCCAATCATGATAATCACGTCCTTCGATAGCATCGATTTCACGCGCTCAGACAATAAGAAGTTGTCCGTGTCCGACACATGAGCATTCTGAAACAATTGAGAGCTGCCAACACCAGAGATTCATCGCAGCTGAACTCCTCTTAGTGCTCCCGAATAATCTTTCCTTGCAGATAAAACGTTACCGAAGATATAAGCTGGGACCGGCTGGGGCTTTCATCCGTAATGCAACCACTTACGCAGCATTGCCTGCGCCTCAATCGAAGCTGCCATCTCTGATCTGGTCTCTCTCTTCAACGCCCAGTTTCTCTCTGGTATAATCCTAACCCAACTATCAGAAAGAAGGCCCTCAAAGGAAGCGATCACGCTGGCTCCGGCGTGGATCTGCTACCCCTTCCAAATCGATACGGAGATGTTTTCGTTACCCGGAAGTGGGTTTCGGCGCCTTATCACGCCGTTGATAAGGCGCCACTGCCACTGAAACACTACTGTTGTCTCATTGGGCAGGACCCCTACCCAATCCACTACGTAACTTTCCTTATGTCCCCATAGGAATTATCGTGTCCACTTCCTTTAATGTCGGCATGCCGTGAGACTAAGAATAGAGCTGACCTCTGCAGCGACCCCCCTCTTCTTAGCCAACGGCTTCTCGTCTAGACCGCTGTCCAGTGTCTGAGTGTTTTCTCAAAGAGTGCACTATATCATATCCTCCTTGCCATAGGTACAGTAGGTGGTACGGGGGTGATAAAGAAGAAGCCAGGAAAACAACTTAAAGACAAAATCCGGGATTAAACAGGTGCTATCAGCATCAGTTAAAACAGCGCTTTAACTCCGCCGGCTCGGATGAGAAAGGAGGAGGGTTGGTGCGAAGGGCTAGCAACCCTTCCGCCGTAAAAAAGCTCAAAGCTAAAGAAACGACGAAAAAGCATATATCTGTTGCATCGAGGGAGCCTAACTCCCGCCTTATGACGGATCACCTCCCGATTCGGAGTTCGGTTTTCTCACCTAAAAATAAAACATTCATCGGTACTTGGAACGTGCACACGTTGAATCAGACTGGAAATCTCGCGCAACTGCTTCGGGAATTCGAAAGCTATCGATTGGACATTCTCGGAATCAGTGAAGTTCGATGGTTGGGGAGCGGGCGCATGAGCTGTGGAAACAAGACTGTCTTACATTCTGGTCATGAAGATCGACACGAGAGGGGTGTTGGATTTGTTTTGAGCAAGCGAGCAGCAGAAGCCCTTGTAGGTTGGAATCCGGTGAGCGATCGAATAATCACTGCGCGATTTGTGACAAAGCACCGCATCACGGTCATTCAAGTATACGCACCTACGGAGGATTCGAGTGACGAGGCGAAGAACGACTTCTATGAGCTGCTCCAAGAAACTGTCGATAGTGCACCAAGAAGAGACATGAAAATTATTCTCGGAGACTTCAACGCAAAACTAGGCGGTGATCGATGTGGTTTCGAGAGTACAATCGGACCATTCACGTCTTCTGAAGAACTAAGCAATAACGGCGAGCGATTGGTCTCATTTTGCGACCACAATGACCTTTGTATTGGGAACACGTACTTTCAACACAGACAGATCACAAGAAAACCTGGCGCTCTCCGGACGGAAAAACTTTAAATGAAATTGACCACATCTGCATCAGCCGCAAGTGGAGGACTTCCCTTCAGGATGCTCGTGCGTTTCGAGGAGCGGATATTGGATCGGATCACTATATGGTTAGAGCAGCAATCAAACTTAAGCTGAAGAAGCTAAGAAGCACTCTAACTGCTCGGCCGTTTGCCGTAGATAAATTGAAAGATCGTGAAATTGCTTCTAGATTCGCTTTGGAACTACGAAACCGATTCGATCTCTTAGGAGAAATGGATAATCTGGAAGATGAGTGGGCAGCTGTAAGAGAAATTGTACACACTTGCGCCGAAAAAGTTGTCGGCCGGATGTAAAACAAAAAAAACTTTAGCGTAGCACGGAAAACGAAGAGAGGAGTGGATTAAAGGAAGCAGTCACGATAATTTTCATGGCAACGATAAGGAAAGCTATGTATTGGAGTGGATAGAGGTCCTGCCCAATGTTAGAACACGTGAAGTTTCAGTGGCAGTGGCGCCTTATCAACGGAGTGATAAGGCGCCGAAATCCACTTCCGTTCAGCAAAAACCAAGACTTATCGATGTGGAAAGGGGTGCGATAAGAGCGTGCTAGATATGATACCGTTATCGTTATCGTCCCGTTTTCATTCTGGAGTGCACCTCTTATCAAGCAGCCGCACCTTCTTATCTCATCGTATCATATCTTCCATGGGCTTACACTCGTCCAACAATTACTGCCTCACACCTTATCGATTGATAACGCGAGGGTAGCAAATCCAGCGTGGAAGCCAGCGTGACTCGCTTCCTTTAATTATTCGATCAAGAACCGCCGTTAAGCGAACGCGCGCGCGCAACCAACTGGGCCCACTCTGGGATGCGCCGTGTGCTTCACATCTCGTTGGATTTGAGGACCTACTTGAAAGATAAAATATCCCTAGAAAACGTGCGAATTTCGGATCCTTTGACTTGTGTGGTGATGAAACACTAAAGTCACTAAGAATTGCTAAGCGGACACCTCTAAATCACGAAGATTTTGTGTGGACGGAATCAATTGTTATTGGAAATACTCTGGCCTGGTATCGATTCGATCCTTAATGTTTGTCCTCCGACGATGATCCTACTGTATCAATCGGGCCCGATCTCTCCCCAGCGGGCCAATACGACCCCCCCCCTCTGTGACATGTCGAGGATTCCTCAACGCACGCTTGACCCTGCCACCGACTCAACACTGTTTGAAAGTGGCGGGGCCGATGTAATAGTTTACGATCAAGCTTCGCTAGCGAATCGCTGGATCTACGCCTTCGATCCCACCGCCGTTACTGTTTGATGGTGATGGTTGAATGAAGATTTTGCGTAAATCTACGCATTCGCGCGCGCCGATCCTCGTGGTCGATACGTATTTTAGACAACAATGTCGAAGTTATACGAGTTTTTTCTCGTTGTTTACTCAGACCTCACACAAAGCACGTTGTGCTGAAGGGCGGAGCCTAGCAATCATTGGGTTCGGACGAGCTCTCGCGCCGGTGTCGTGGCTTCGACACGTCGATCACTAGTGCTTGCCTGTGTGATACTTTAAAGAAATTCATTTCTGTTTTAGTAGTTAAAAATTCTTAGAAGTGGACCAGTTCCTTTTCGAAAAGCCTATCATATAGTCGAAAGAGTATGAATTTTGACTCTCAAAGTTTTCAGCAGTGTATACCTGTTTGGCAAAACTGTAAACCTGTGGTAATTGACTGGAATGTCATTCCGTAGAAAGCTAATTGAATTACAATGGTATTCGGCAAGGTGAGTTTTGGATGCATATTTTTGCATTCCAAATTTGACTGAACTTTCTCTGCTTTCTTCATCAGATTCCGCACGGCGATAAGTTCCATTTCAGATTCAGTCGCGTGCTGCTTTTTGGTGTGTTTTTATTTCTAGTTTTCTTCGTAATGGTTTATATGCAGGATCGTAACAAAGTAAGTCTTGGCTAGCACACTTTTCTTGTTTCTATGTGTTTTGTATTTCCACCATTCAGATCACGTTTTCCACGAATGATGTTGCTGTTGATAATCCGCCTGAAGCGTGGAAGGATAGTGAGTTGGCTGGAAGTGTGGATCCAAACACAGTTTTTGTTGGTGAAGAACTAGGCAATTATGAACCCAAGACACCGGAGATGCCTTCCAACCAGCCGGGTAAATGATTTCTATTTGTTAAAGTGCAAATGTTTTTA